CCAACATTGCCATGTCATCGATTTTTTTACGGCAAAAATGTCATGTCATCAATATTTAATACAGTATGTTATGCCTCAAAAGTCAAGCCTATGTCAGCACAATTAATGTCTCTCTGTACCAGCTGCTAAGCCCATATCTCCAAAGATATTCTCACCAACTTTATCTCATTTCAAAGAGATGAATGGACGAGAGCCTTCCATGTGTCAAGGCAGCTTGCAAAACACTCATTGCATTAAGTGCAAATGTGAATAAATGGGCATTTCTCTTCCCGAAGAAGAGGGGAGGCTGGGGCGAATTTCATCTTCATTTATTTCTCTGTAAAAACACTGTATTTCTTCATCTTTGTATGCTTTAGGGGCAAAATCATAGAAATAGTCAGAGATTAATAAATAACAGTGGAGTAGGAGTCGTTGTTGCATCCGAACCACTATAAAAACCCCTCTTGCCAATCTTCATTTATATTTTCTATAAAACATAAATCTCAGCTCCTATCAAATCTCATGGATCCATCACGTGTGATTCCTAAGTCGCTTAGCGCTTCTCACGTGCGAGTCGTTGGCGTCCAAAATCAAGGTCACACGTTTGGTGGCCTATGCAAGTTGAGGCTGTTTTGCTCATTCAGGTCGTTTTGACCTTTCAAGTTAAGGTCGTTTTGCTCATTCAGGTCGTTTTGACCTCTCAGGTTGAGGAGATGTCGTTTTGACCTCTAAAATGAGGTCGTTTTGCTTTTGAGCTCGTTTTGACCTTCAAGTTGAGGTCCTTTTGCTCATTGAGCTCGTTTTGACCTCTCAAGTTGAGGTCGTTTTGCTCATTCAGGTGTTTTGATCTCTAAAATTGAGGTCGTTTGCTTTTTGAGCTCGTTTTGACCTCTCAAGTCGGGTCGTTTTGTTCTCAAGTTGAGCTCGTTTTGACCTCTAAAATTGAGGTTGTTTTGCTTTTTGAGCTCGTTTTGACCTCCAGATCGAGCTCGTTTTGCTTCAAGTTGAGCTCGTTTTGCTCAGATTGAGCTCGTTATGACCTTTCAGGTGTTCTCCTACCAGATTCAGGTCGAGCTCCTACTAGATTTTTGCTTGTTTTCCTAACAGATTTTGGTGTTTTCCTACCAGATTTCTGGTCGTTTTCCTAACAGATTTCTGGTCGTTTTTCCTAACAGATTTCTGGTCGCTCCTAATTAATTTCTGGTCACTCTAACAGATTTCTGGTTGTTTTCCTAACAGATTTCTGATCGTCTTCCTAACAGATTTCAGTTCGAGCTCTTCAGTTGAGACTGCACAATTCAGATCAAAGACTTAGTTTCTGAAGCGCGATTACGCACTTCAAAAACTGGGGGGCTTCTGTTATGCCTCAAAAGTCAAGCCTATGTCAGCACAATTAATGTCTCTCTGTACCAGCTGCCAAGCCTATATTCCAAAGATATTCTCACCAACTTTATCTCATTTCAAAGGATGAATGGACGAGAGAGCTTCCATGTGTAAGGCAGCTTGCAAACACTCATTGCATTGAGTGCAAATGTGAATAAATGGGCATTTTCCTTCCGAAGAGAGGGGAGGTGGGCTGAGATTTATCTTCATTTCTTTCTCTGTAAACATTGTATTTCTTATTTTTGTATGCCTTACGGGCAAAATCTAGAAAATAGTCAGAGATCAATAAATAACAGTGGATGTAGGAGTGCTTGTTGCATCCGAACCACTATAAAAACCCCTCTTGCCAATCTTTCATTTATTTTTCTACAAAATATAAATCTCAGCTCCATATTCAAATCTCATGGATCCATCACGTGTGATTCCTAAGTCGCTTAGCGCTTCTCACGTGGAGTCGTTGGCGTCCAAAATCAAGCGTCAACACAGAGAAAAAAATATGAAAGTTTGATACTTAATAGGAAAAACTTAAAGTTCGGTATCTTCAATAAAAAAAAAAGTGATAATTCTGTACCTTCTGATGTAATTAAGTCTTATTTCTCTTTAATTATCTATACTACTGAAGAAAGAAAATTAGGGTTTTATATAATATGCGCATATAATAATGGTGCTTTTGGTTTTGAGTGGTGATGTATATGTAAAAACTAAGTATACAAACTCTTGATAAGCACAGTATTTTTATTGTACATAATTCATTATAATTAATTAATATTTATTGAGTTAACTTTTATATAAAGTCCCGTTTACTTTGTGTTGTCTCAATTGTATGGAAGAGTTTATACATCTTATTATTCTTTAGAGTTTGCTTGGTTTTTTGATGATTCGAATAAAAATTGGAAAGAGAAAAAAATTAATAAAGGTCAACTTACAACTCCGACGTGGCAGTTCGCAATTGGTTAGTTGTAATTAATATGCAAGACTAATGCGAGCTATCACGTCAGAATGTTAGAAAAATATTATGAGATTGTTTGTAAATGTAATCGCTCCCCTAAAAAAAAAAAAAAAAAAAATTATGTAACTTGTGTTGCAAGACATGTCATTTAAGCATACCTACAAATTTTGATTCAAATAAGAGAAACTTATGTCATTAGTCACGTGACTCACGTGTATTACTATTGCTTGACAATTTTAAAGTGCCAAATAATAAGCAATATCTGAGACTACATAATCAAAATAGGGAATTAAGAAACTTCCATTTTTTTATTGTGCCCACATATTTGATATATCCTTTTTTTTTTTTTTTTTTTTTAAGTGAATAACAGAAATTTGATCATTTCAATTTTCTATCAATTCTACGAACTAAAATAATATATTCATGGACCAATTAAATCAAATACACATAGACTATAATTAATTTGATTTTAGTTGAAATAAAAATAATATAACTAAGGGTGGATTTTGATTAATATATTTGAGAGACCTTCCTTCCAATTTCGAAGATCACCGTCATCAATTGATAATGGTTTCTTTAAGAAATGGATGCAAGATTACAACTAGGACATAGGCAATAGTGACGACCTTTCTTAATCAAAATTCTAAACCATCGTTTTCTTTAAATGGACGTTAGACCATTTGTTGTGTGTCTTAATTATAAGTATTCCTTGGTGGTTACGCTTTGACCTTATCAGTTGATTATAATTTGACATTTTACATACATGCACCTATCAATCAAATATAAACTTTAACTTATTATATACCGCCAATTCCTAAAATCAATAAACGAGTAAAAGACTTTTTCCCACCAAGGTTTGGCCTAATGATACTTTCTTACTCAAAAAAAATTTAATATAATTTTATTACCCATAACTTAAATCCATTAATAAATTTTGCTGTGAAGAAAGGTAAGATGGTCAAAAGTTGATAGTCAATTAACCAACATTAAATAAGAGCAAGATTGTAAAAGAATGTTATAAATAAGGACAAATTGTATTTTTTTTGGTATCAATGAAAGGTAGTGGATTACATGATTTCCCAAAAAGAATTTTGTAAATATTATGTCATAGTATTGCAATTTGTTCAAAATTTATAACACAGCACATGTCACACTGCTAACAATATGAGATTCAATGTCCAAGACTTGGGTTCCCGTAGTTAGGTAGATGTTTTTGGGTGAAGAATGCTTGTGTGAAACGTCGGGTTGAAAACGTAATTTTGCCTAGTTGGACCGACTTGACACATAATTAGATATGAAAGAGTAAACGACTTTCCCACCCAAGGTTTGCCTTCATAAACTTTCACCCAAAGTTTCAAAAGACCATTTCTCACCTAAAAAGTTTCAAAATATCACTTTTCCCCCAAAATTAAATTTCTACTATCCAAGCCAATTTCGACAATTATGGTGGCAAAAATTCTCTCCATCACCACCATTTGAACCTTCGATCTCCTTTCTACAAAACCATTCCACTCAGTACTTAATTTTTCGCTAATATTAGTCATCACAAAGCTAGAGTTTTTGTTCATAAGATTTTTGGCTAATTCCGACGGGAATATTCAATCAGTCATCACCATTCGATCCACTGACATCCACTCTACAAAACCCTCTTACCTGACTCTCGAACTTGCGAACATGGGCTAAGAAAGTAAGATATTTTGGGGGATTAACGGAAATAAATGTTGGGTGAGAAAATGGTATTTTGAAAATTGGGTGGGAAAAAGTCGTTTACTCGAAGTGAAATTCATAATTGAAGTGAAATTCATAATTTGTGATCTTATCTTAAAGGCTATTGTTTATGCACAACAATTTTTGAATATTTTAATTTTAAAATATTTGTAATATAATTTAGATTTTTAAAATTATTTTCCAAATAAAATCAACTTATTAATATTTCTTAGCAGATAATTATGTTGAATCATTGGAATACAATGCAATGAGGTTCTAGATTAAAAATTTCCAGTGGATGCCAAATGACAAGTGTATACAAAGGCTGTTGCAGGGGAAGTTACACGCCTACTTTCAAACATCTTTGAAATTTTGATTTGTGTAATTAATAATTGGTTGGTATTTCTATAAACAACAGTAATATGTAAGTTTCTTTGCTTTTCTTTCTTCATTCCAATAAATAGATTATGACTAACCATCATGGGATGACATAATGGTAAAAGGATAAAAGAGTTTTTTAAGCTTTTGAGTTGGAATCTTCCAAACCTTAATAGGGATAATCATTAAAGAACTATCTAATCAACTTTCATGATCTGAAAATTATTGAGATGCGGTGTGTATATATATATAATATATATATATATAATATGCAAGTTAACAGGAAAAAAATTATCTATTTTACTGATTCTGGGTTTGAAAATGTTCCATTTGTGTCTAAACCATCATTACTTTAATTTCCTCTTCAATCATGCAGCTAATTGATTAAACAAAATTATTAATTAATTAATTTCAAGATCGAACAAGTGTCCTTTTGTACGTAAATCTTTGACTTAGTGGCAATTCACAAACCGCAGTCAAATCATGCAACTTCCAGTGAGATGCATAGAGGATTATAATTTCCTGAATGGCATGCTATGACCCAATCCAAAATTGGTATTCATTGCATTTATCCTTCTAGACCGCAACATTTTTCCACAACATTAACATAACGGTCAAACCTGTCTCAACTCTCCTTAACTTTTCTTAACTGTCAAATCCTCCGTACACTTTCCGTCCTTTTAATCTCTCTATAAATATTTGTGTTCTATAGTTGATTCTGAATTAGTTAAGCTTTTACATCGAGAAAATTAGTCGAGCAAGAACTGTTTGGAAGAAAACTGAGAAGCAAGTGCAGAGGATTTTTTGGATGTCAAGTGGTGGTGAGAGAAAGCCGGTGAAGATTGTGTTGATAAACACGCAGTATGTGGAGACGGATGAGACGAGTTTCAAGTCGGTGGTGCAGTCATTGACGGGGAAAGATTCTCGGGTTGAAGCGGAACCGACAGGGACGACGATGAGGAGGAAGAGGGAGGAGGAGATGGTGATGAAAGGTGGTGTAAAGAGGGTTGAAATGAGGAGAAATAATTCGATTTTGATGAGGGATTTGTCGTTTAAAGAGTTTGATAGATTGCTTGAGGAGATGCCGCCAGTGGATGAGCTATATGGGATGTGGGCGAATTGATACATTGATTCATGTACATCATGTATGGTTGATTTTTATACTGTATTTTTATTAGATTATATTCGTTTGTTCTCTCTCTCTCTCTCTCTATATATGCATATATTTGTAAATAATATTGAATAGTCTCTTCATTATATATTATATAGAACTATTTGGTAATCCCATGCAGTTGCTGTTTCTTCACGAGATTTTAGAATACTTTTGCTGATGGATATGAAAAGATTAGTGAATAAGTTTGGTATAACGTATAATTTGGTATTTCTTGATTCTAACTTGACGGCGATTGAGCTTTGTGTTTTGTAGGAGTGGGTTCTTTGCCGAACCTCTCCGTGAATAATATTTGTATAGATTTCGGTTAATTATCTTCTGTTCACACTCCGATGAAGGCTGATAAGAGAGAAAATAGTAACAAGTAATGTTAATGCATTGATTAATGGTATGTTAATTAACGATAGAAGTTGATCTAATTTTATCTTAGAGTTGTAACCCATACAGCGATTCTCAATCTCATCCTCGTCCCAAAATAGGAATGTGATCTCATCATCCTCATTTTTATACCAAGTGTGATGGTGTGACTCTTGTCGAGTTATGTATCTATTTCTAAAAATTTAAACTATATATTATATTGATTTTGGACACCTGATACAAGAGGGATTAGTACTAGCTAGGGGTGGGATAATCCGGTGAATCGAACCGGATAGGGCAAACCGGAAACCGAACCGACTATTCGGTTTAGACAAAATGCAAACCAAAACCGGACCGGTTTATGGAATAAATCGATTGTAAATTGAACTGAATATTCGATTTGGTTAACCGGTTTTCAAATTTACCCCTAAAATTCTTCAATTTTTATATTCAAAATAGACGAGCAGTTGAGGATTGCATATCTGAATAGCGGTGAAAATTGGAGCTGTGGTCAACTATCATGACATCGTCGCTGTTCCTGGTTCAAGGAATATATCAAGTGCAACGCAGCAGCTATGGACTGTGGTCTGTGGGTGGTTGTTGTGAACTACACGGCAATAGTTGTGGATTGTGGTCGTCGCTGGTGAGTGGGTGGTTGTTGTGGTGAATGGTGATGCTGGGTGTCGACGAAATGGATGCTGGATGGGTTTGGAGTTTGAGTTTGGTGATGGCCTGATGGGTGTGGGTGGCGCTGCTGGCGAAGTGCAAAGATGGATTCTGGTGTGGTCTGGTGTGGTCTCGTCTACTTATTTCTTTCTATATATTTCATTTAAATTTGCTTTCCTAATTCTAAATTAAAAAAATATATGAAAATATTAAAATTCTAAAATAAGGGTAATTACCTATTTTCCCTTATTTTATGTGACCATTGATTGTCCAGTTTCTAAAGAATTTGAAACTTTTGTCATTTATTTAAAAAAAATTATGAAATTTTAGTATCTCAATTAATAACATCTTCAATAAAAATTGGGTATATAATTTCTGTTATTATTATTAGTTATAATACAATTTTTAAGGCCACGATAATTTAAATTTGTTTCTACGAACTTTTTCTATTTTTCTTAAGAAGTAAAAAATAAGATTGTTAATTAATTAAATATATAAAAGTTATAAAAATAAATACTAATTCATAATTACAATACACACACATTCTGCATATAAAATTCAATTAAAATATAAAAATTCATCAACTTAATTTGATAATTATATGTGTTTATATAATTCATGATGAATATACTTGATTTAGACACTTATGTATATACATTATTTATGGTGAATAATATACATAATTCATAATTAATTTACTTGATTCATTACGTGCATTATAAATTAATTCATGGATAATTTAGAATAACAAGATTCATGAACCGATAACTCATGAATACCATTAAGATAAACTTCTATTAATTAATTAATTAATTAATCAATTGATCTATTAATTAATTAATTAATTAATCAATTGATCAATTAATTAATTGAATCTGGTGTTATATGGATACACACAATACTCATTGATAGTGTTTATGTCAATGGACATTGAATTAATCCATTTAATGTTTAATTAAGCTGGCTAAAATATGTCACATATTAATGATTGGAAACATGGATGTGATAATACTAATCTAGTAATCTACATATATAAATTTCATTTTCAATACCTAGATCTCACATTCCACTACAAATCCCACCATTCAAAACTATCTTTTCACATAAATACTTAAAAAATAATAACTATATCTGATAAATTAAAGATTGTATAATAATATTTTATATAAATAAGAATAATAGAACATTGATCTTCACAATAACTAAGTAGGTCCGAGTGGGGGCTTTTGACCCCACTCAAAATTTCTTAATTAAATTTATTTTAATTGTTTAAGAAGATAAGTCTTTTATTAATTAAATTTAAATTGAAACATGGTTAATGAGCTCATATTTCTCCAAAAAGAGTTAAAATGTTAGGTAGAATGGACAAAAAGAGATGGCCCATAATGGTTCAGAATGGATGACCATGCATGGTTCACCCTCCTTAACCAATTTGGGTGAACCAAATCAAAGCCTTCTTCAACAAATACTTGATTACAAAACATAACACTGTTGTCTTATTCAGTGCTTTCTACGTATATTAAAATCATATAATAAAATTTTATTGAAGATCAAGACTTTGGGTGGCTTGGAGATAATATTACTAATTGAATGTAACTCTGTTCATTTGATTTTATAACCTAAGACACGTTTCAGATTTTATAGATTTGGGTCAACCAATTAAAAGGTCGTATAATGTATCATTATAATACAGTAAAAAATAACTAGACAGGAATGACCGTCAAATGGGTCATCTTGCTTACTTTATCATAAAAATTAATTCAGATGCCCACTCAATTCATTGGAGCGTAAAGCACACTCATATGCTTACATGTTACACAATCACAAATCAAGCAAAAATCAAATTGGATACCCAAAAATACCCAAAACAAAACCAAATCTTGTACCATGAAGAAATCCAAATCTTAAACCATGAGTAGTGGAAGAAGAAGAAGTGGTGGAGATGGAAAGAAATAGGGAAAACAAAAGGGGAAAAAAGAAAGGCTGGACGGAAGAAAATGAAGAAGAAGTAGTGAAGTGGAAATACATAGAGAAGAAAATAAAGGAAAGGCAAAAAAAAAAAAAAAAAAAACAAAAAAAAAAAAGAAAGAGCTGACAAAGGAAGAAGAAGAGATGGTGGAAAGAAATAAAAGAAAAAAAAAAAAAAAAGATATCGTTTTAATTAGGATAAGTTTTCATTCTGGGTGGGTTAATTTGGATTTTTTAGATTATAAATAACTAAATCAACCTTAATTGTCATGTCAAATGTCCCGTCAACGCACCAGAATTATTATGTCAACGATTTTTTACGAAAAAAATATCATGTCATCAATATTTAATGCAGTAGAAAAATATATAAAGTTTAGTACATTCATAGAAAACTTAAAGTTCGATACCTTCAATAAGAAACTTAAAGTTCAGTACTTTCAATAGAAAAAAAGTGATATTTTGTACCTTCTAATGTAATTAAGCCTTATTTCTCTCTTAATTATCTATACATATATAATATGAGAAAGAAAATTAGGGTTTAATTATATGCGTATATAATAATGGTGCTTTTGTGTTTGTGTGGTGATGTTATTGTAAAAACTAAGTATCAAACTCTAGATAAGCACAATATTTTTATTGTCACATAATTCATTTATTTTAAACATTTATTGGTTAACTTTTTATATAAAGTCCCGTTACTTTGTGTCATCTCATATTGTATGGAAGAGTTTATACATCTATTATATTCTTTAGAGTTTGCTTGGTTTTTTGATAGATTCGAAATAAATTGAAAGAGAAAAAATTAATAAGGTTAGCTCATAACCCCGACGTAGCAACTCGCAATTAGTTAGTTCGCAATAGATATACAAGACTAATAGTGAATTGTTACATCGGAATTATAGATTTATTGTAAGTGTAGTCGCTCCCTAAAAAACAAAAACAAAAAAAAAAAATTATGTTAACTTGTGTTGCAAAGACATGTCAATTTAAGCATACCTAAAATTTTGATTCAAATAGAGAAACTTATATTATAGTCACGTGACTCACGTGCATTACTATTGATTGACAATTTTTAATGCCAAATAATAAGCAATATCTGAGACTACTAATCAAACTAGGGGATTAAGAAACTTCCATTTTCTTATTTGTGCCCACAAATTTGATAATCCTTTTTTTAAGTGATAACAGAACTGATTTGATCATTTACAATTTTCTATCAATTCCGCGACATAAAATAATATATTCAGGGACCAATTAAATTTATATACATATGCCTATATTAATTTTGATTTAGTTGAAATAAAAATAGTACAACTGGCGGTGGATTTTGATTAATATTCGAGAGACCTTCCTTCCAATTTCAAAGATCACCTCATCATTTTATAATGGTTTCTTTAAGAAAATCGGTGCAAGATTACAACTAGTGACATAGGCAATAGTGACGACCTTTTCTTAATCAAATTTTCTAAACCATAGTTTTCTTTATGGAAGTTTAGACCTTTTGTTGTGTGTCTTAATTATAAGTTATTCCTTGGTGGTTACCTTTTGACCTTATCAATTAATTATAATTTGACTGTTTTACATACATGGACCATATCAATCAAATATAACTTTTTAACTTATTACCAATTCCTAAAATCAACGACTTTTTCCCACCCAAGGTTTGGTCTAATAACACTTACTTACTAAAAAAAGTTTTAAAAAACTTTATTACACACAACATAAATCCGTTAATAAATTGTTGCGAAGAAGGTAAGATGGTAAAAAGTTCATTATAAATAAGAATATGATAGCTAATAATAGGGGTGAGCGGTTTTGAATACCCTCCATTTTTCAGGAAACCAGAATCAGAACCGTACAGTATAGGTTCTCAAAAAAAGGAACCGGAACCGGAACCGCACAGTACAGTTCTTCAATTCAAGGAACCGAACCTAAAATGCAGGTTCTAGTTCCTTTCCAGGGTACCCTGTAAAAAATCAACTACCCCCTATTAGTTTAAAAAATGATAAAATACCTTAAAAGTTTACAAATACACCCCTAACAAATATACTATT